AGAAGGGCACGAGAGGGCTTGGCAAGCCCCTTCGTTTCGTGCAAGGGTGGGCTGCCCCACCTATCTCCCCACAGCACGGGGCTATGTCTCGCACAGAGTGGCAATGCACCAAGCTCCACCGTCGACTACTTGAGCTAAGTTATCGTGCTGAACGCTGTGAAGCTCGTGGGTATACGTCCTGCATCGATATCCAGCTCTACCACCAGCTCTGGGCCAACTGCTGCAAGCAAGCCCGACTTCTACAACCTGTGTGTGCATCCTGGCCTGGATGGTGGACGCCTTTCTGCTGGCCCTCGGCAGACCAAGCCCGTCGCGCTGCTGCCCAGGTACTTGCTGAACAACAACGGTATGCCGCAGAAGCCCAACGCCAGCGACTGCAACAATGGCGAGCACGAATTTCAGCATCTTGTCAAAGCGGAGGGCGAGAGGTGTGTGCCTGGGTACAAGCGCAGACTCAGCAACCCACTACCTTCCTCAAAAAACCCAACACCCAGGACATCATCTCCAACCCGCTCGATATCATCAAGCTGACGCAGCTAACTTGGGAGCCGATTCTCTGCGAATATCATGGGGCTTCAGAGGTTCCCCCTTGGGAGGATTTCCGCGCCGAATACGAAGCTGAGCTGCCTCCTGTGGGCCCCTGTCCTGAGCCCTCACTTCGTTATGCTGAGGTCAGCGATTTTCCACAGGCACGCTCCTCTCTCAAGGCGGGAGGTCTTGACGGATGGGCGACGGTGGAGGCCAAAGCTCTGCCCGCAGCCATCCAAGCAGTCTTTGCCGAGGCTCTTCGATCGATGCAGAATTCGGGTCAGGTCCCTTCGGCTTTCAACCACGTTCCGAATCCCGCCTTGAGGAGGGGGGAGGGGATTTTTCCTGAAAACCAAAAAGGCTCCTTTCCGTTCTGTCTGTTTGGCTTTATGCTTGGGAAGTCCCGACCTACCGAAAGCTCGACCCATGGAGGCGCAAGTGGACTCACCCCACGAGTTTTGGGGCCACGTCGGGGGCTCGTCTCTCGGACGTTTCCACCAGTCTTGCCCTTCAGGTCGAGTGGTCCCGTCACACCGAGAACTGGGTTCACGGTCTCGCTCTCGACAGGAAGAAGTGCTTCGAACTGCTGGTAACCAGTATATGCATCGAACTACAACGACATGCAGGGTGCCCCGAGAGTGTGCTTCGAGTTCGTGAACCTTTTTACGCCCAGCATCGGAGGTACCTGCGGATGTCTGGAACTTACAGCGACGCTATGGCCACCGCGGATGGCCACCTACAAGGATCTGCTTTCAGCATTGATGACATTACGATGCTCATGTATGTATGGACGGCGAGACAACACAGAGTAATACCGAGATCTTTTTCCATAACGTATATCGACGATTCCAACTCAACGGTGTGGGACATGGCTGGGATTCGTGAATCGCTTCGCGAATCGCTTCTATTTGATAAACTTTCTGGTCAGGAACTACACCTTGGGAAGCTGGTCGCCTGGACCACCCACGAGGACTTGACCGCTGAGCTCGCCGACGCCACGGTCTGTGGCCACAACCTGCCCGTTAAGCGCGCCTTCCGTCTCGTGGGCAGCCAGATCGCCACTCGCGGAGGTGATGACACCAGCCTCATGGACCGCCACTTCGTTGCTGCAGCTCAACGACTTCAACGTGCTCAACGGCTCCCCCTCCCTTTACACAAGCGTGCCGACATCGCGCAGACGATGGCGACATCCATGGTTGCTGTGGGATCCGACCTCGGTACGCCTTCCAACTGACAGCTGCGGGATTACTACCACGCCATGTTCGCGACCATCATGCCTAAGGAACGGCAGTGGACATGCCTATGGATTTTGCTGAGCGTCGTGCTGAAGGGCCACCTTCTTGACCCCGTCACGATCAGCCAGAGAGAAGTCACCCTTTCGCTACGACGTCAGGCTCTGCGGGTGCCGCAGCTGCGTGACTACGTGCGTGACCTTCGTGATCATATACAAGATGCAGACGCTGCCTACCCTGATCCAGTGCGAACTTTCGTCAAGATGCTCAACCCGCTCAACTGGCGCTGGCCAGCTTTCGACATCCTGATGACCGACCTGGGCACCCCCATCTCGTGGCTCGAAGGGCACAGTGACTTTCTCATGCACCATCTCCGAGACTCACAACGACGGTGGTTTCAACGTAAGGTGCCCACCACGCGAGACGACCTCGGAGACGTGGTTAAGCACAAGTATGGCATCGAAATGGTTTCAAATTCTTGGCTCTTGCGAACACGCAGTCTCAGGCACCGTCTTACTAAGTGGCAGCGCGGCCTACTGTCTGCATTTCTAGCCGGCGGCGATCACACGCACCAAAGATTGCAAATATCGTCAATTTCAGAAGACCTTTCAGCGGTGTGCAGGTTCTGTGACAGAGAACAGGAAACGCAAGAACACATCCTGTGGGAATGTCCGTACTGGCAAGAAGAACGCGCACCACTACTTCAACATCCACAAGTTCAAGAACGTGATCAGTGGCCGCCTTCAACACGTCACTGTGGTCTCACGTACATCGATGAGGAGACGGTCAAACTCTACAACGAACTCGCAGCCCTACCTGAGCCCTCACAACACCGACCCCCGCAGCAAGTGGATGACGATCCCGCTGAGGACATGGTCAACAACATCACCGACGACGAGAACAAGCGGTGGATGGCCGTAGCTACGGATGGCGCCTGCCGTTTCCCCCAACACCAGTGGCTAGCTCGAGCTGGATACGCTGTATATGTGGCGCCACGCCACCGCCTAAACTATTCATCGAAGCTATACGGACCACGACAAAGTAGTGCACGAGCTGAAGCCCGAGCCTTACTTCACGTTGTACGCGTCGCGGAGGAGCCTGTGTGGATCTACTGCGACAATCAACAATGTGTTCGAGAATTCAAAAATCTACTAAAAGGAGGTGAGCCGCCTGGAGGAAGCTGGAACGACATCTGGGCCCAGATCAAGATCGCGATCGACGCCAAGCCCGAGATGTTCTACATCGAGCACGTGTACTCGCATCAGGGTGAGGACGGTGTGGACCGCGGCGCGGTGCATCCGCTCGCTGAGGAGTTGAACAAAAAAGCTGATGTGCTTGCCGCAGATGCCGCCGAGTCACGCCCCCTCCCGACCTCTGTAATTCAGAACGCCAGGGACCGTTTTACTTTGACCACTTTAATGCACCGATCGATTGTTCGAATTTTAGAGAAGCGAGCTGTTACGAGACCCCTCCCCCGTCGGTCTGCGGGGTTCTCGGAAGCCCAACTCGCTCGTCTCGCTCCTCTTACCTTCGACCCTCTCCCGCCTCCTCCTCCTCCCCCTCCCCCTCCCGACTGGGAGGAGGCGATGGGGGTCGAGGTCGAGCTCGAAGAGGGGGCCGACTTTGACCCTTTCGGATTTGGTTTCGAGTTCGGTGAGCCTCTCATCCCACCCAGCATGGCAACTATTTAGATAGTGCCTCGTCCCGTGCCCGAGGCAAGAGGCTTCCGCCTCCGTCTCGGTTCCAGATGCCGCGGACTTCGTTTCAGAGTCCAAACGAAGGAGGAGCCCCGTCGTGTTTATTCTCTCTCATGGCTGAGCAGGCCCAGCGAGCCTAGACTAACCGATCCAAAGCGCAGGGCATCACCATCACCATCACCATCACCATCACCATCACCATCACCATCACCATCACCATCACCATCACCATCACCATCACCATCACCATCACCATCACCATCACCATCACCATCACCATCACCATCACCATCACCATCACCATCACCATCATCACCATCACCATCACCATCACCATCACCATCACCATCACCATCACCATCACCATCACCATCACCATCACCATCACCATCACCATCACCATCACCATCACCATTATTATCATCATCGGCGCTCTCCCATGCCACCTTTCACTGCAAGAGCGCGTCCTCGTGCTTCTCGCTATCCGCACAGCAAGCGGATACCGTGATCGCAGCCGCTCGCCCGACTGCGCAGAGCGGTCATCGGCGCAGGCGCGCGCTGATGCAGGGCCATGCTTCGAGACGGGGGCTCCTTCCTCCTCGGTGGCAGCACGAACGCAGCAGCTCGAACGCGTCGCGATGGTCCTCAGCCGCCGAGCGTCGGAGGCGACGACGAGGGCGAAGAGCCCATGGGGCGGGCATGCTGCGCACTCGCCCCCGGGAACCCCGCCGAAGGCATGGGCCGTCGGCGCCCCTGGATGCGTGTCTCCTTCTACCCCTGGGCGGTTCCCCCCCCCCCCCCCCCTTCGGCGCCCCCGAGGGAACACGGAGTGGTGGTCACGACGCGAGTCCAAGGGCTGGACCCAAACGCTTTCTTGCTGGACTTCGGCCGCGTTCCATTTTTTCGTTCTGGGAGGGAGGTACAGGAAAGCAGGTAGAGCAACACGAGCAACAAAATGGAAACAACACGACAGACCACGTTTAGGGCCAGCCCTGGTGAGTCCGCCTGCGCATCGCGCTCCTGAGGCCGCGGCCTCCCCGCCACGGCCGCGCCCTCGGCTCGCCTCGCCCTCGGCGGAAGAGGGGCGGAAGGGCCGCGCGGACGCTGGCAGCGAAAACCATGTCCTCCTCCTCCTCCTCCTCCTCCTCCTCCTCCTCCTCTCGCCTCTTCGCTTCCGATGATTCCTCGAGACCTCAGGACGGTTCCCAGATGGCCCAAGAGAGCCCCAGCGTGGGCCCATGAAGGCTCCAAGGCGGCCCCAGGACTAGGACCGCCCAGGAGCGCCATCCCGTGATGGGCACGAGAGGGCTGCTTTCTGGCGCCTGTTTCAAGCAGGTGGAGTCTCCCCCATAGGACGCACTGTTGCAAACAGTCGCGTTAGGCAAAGGTTCGGAGCCAGACCCCCTAAGCCCTCCCCCCCCCTTCCGCCCAGTGTCGACACGCCCGACCAGAGAACGTTCACGTGGGCACGAGTGGGCTCCACAGAGGCGCGCGCACGACCTGTGCACGACCCCTGCAGGGATGGCAGCATCCCCGCGCCCAGGCACTGCGAGGCGGCGCCCCCCCCCCGCCGAGCGGCTACGCGATGGCCAGCCACTGGCAGGCCCGACCGGCCGCCGTCTGCCGCTGCTGCGCGGCAGGGCTCGTCCGTCTCACGTGCCGAGAGAGAGAGAGAGAGAGAGAGAGAGAGAGAGGGAGAGGGAGAGGGAGAGGGAGAGGGAGAGAGGGAGAGGGAGAGAGAGAGAGGGAGGGAGGGAGGGAGAGAGGGAGAGGGAGAGGGAGACCCTGAGATCCTGGACGGGCGTCTTCTCCCAGTTTCGGGCCCCGGGATCCTCACAGATCGACGCGGCTCGATCGGATGGGGGTCCCCCTCGAGGTCCGACAACCCGCGCCCATACCCATAGCTCATTCATCTCCCTGCTCTTCCCCGTTCCTCCCTCCCCATAAGTCTGAGCGTGTGCTGTTCTCAAGCTCCAGGGCCTTGGCCGCAGGGATCCTCGGAGGTCGCGTGCGCGAAGGGGCGCTGCGGCTCCGGCCGCGGGAGGCGGTCTGGAAGCACACGAGGGATCGCCTGGGCAGTGATGGTGCTGCGCTCGTGGCTAGGCCACGCCACTCCCGATCGGCCCGAAGGCCGTGCCGATCCAGAACTCGGGGGGAACATCTTGGCCCGTGCCTCTGGCACCCATTACCAGCCTCGAACGTATCCCTATCCCTAAGATTGACACGCCAAAAGGCGATGGCGATCTTAGGGACCCGCCCTCAAAAAATAAGGGAATCCCTAAGATTGACATCGTGATGAGGAGGTGCCCAGCATAGGGATAGGGATATGTTCCAGGCTGGTAAACCCAGGCGGTCACGTGATCGTCGGTCACGGACGCTCCAGCAGGTGCAGGCAGGAGCGGCGCGCGCGGCTGGAGCGGCATCTGCGGTCGGCCTTGGGAGAGCAGCGTGCGATGTGTGCCTCCGGCACCCAGGCGGTCACGTGATCGTCGTTCGCGGACGCTCCATGGGGCAGGCAGGAGCGGCGCGCGCGGCTGGAGCGGCATCTGCGGTCGGCGTTGTGGAAGAGCAGCGTGCGATGTGTGCCTCCGGCACCCAGGCGGTCACGTGATCGTCGTTCGCGGACGCTCCATGGGGCAGGCAGGGGCAGCGCGCGTGGCGGGAGCGGCAGCTGCGGTCGGCGTTGTGGAAGGGCAGCGTGCGACGTGGCGCCGCTGGCCCGCTCGTGGCACGCCAGGCCCCTCCGTGGGGACAGCGTGCACCGAAGAGGCCCTGGCAGGGGGACCCCCCCCCCCTCCTCCTCCTCCTCCTCCTCCTCCTCCTCCTCCTCCTCCTCCTCCTCCTCCTCCTCCTCCTCCTCCTCCTCCTCCTCCTGCGGGGGATGGCGTGCGCAGAAGGGGCCATTGCGGGGGAATTGCCTCACAGGGATGGCGCGCTTGCTGGAGATTGATGCTGCACGCTGTCGTGTGTGGTCGGCGTGTTCGATAGGGCATGTGTTCGAGTGGCTAGGCTCCCACACGCCCCAGGCCCCGCGAATGAGGCGTTGATATCGGGCGGCGTCGCTGTCGCCTCGACGCCCCGCTGGCCGCGGCAGGAACTGCGGCTCACCTGTCGCGTTCCGCCGGTTCTGGCTCACCACGCCTCGGCGCGACACGCTATCCACGTCCCCATTCCTCAGCGTCGCCTTCCCGAACTGCTCCCAGCCTTCCGCCTCGCGGAGCGGAGCGACACGCTACCCGCTTGCAAGGCACAGCGTGTCGCCGAGGGCCAGCGCCGCGACACGCTATGCGAAAGCCCGTCGGATTCACTTCTCGTCGGATGGCTCCTGATTCCAGTCCTCGCCGTCGTCCGATAGAGATGGTCGAGCAAGATCGCGGGCTCCTCGTCGGCGACCTGGAGATGGGAAAGCTGGCAGGGATGCCAAGGCCAAGTTCTTTGGGGAGTCAGGGGACTTGACAAGGGTTTCGCCAAGTTCGGGGTGGTTGCCGCCAAACTACAGTGGGGGCCCATGCCAAGAAACACCCTGCTTGCCTCCAGGATGCCCAGGGTTTCTTGGGGTTCGATGGCTTTGCTATGGAAAGCGTGACCTTCCCACGCCAAAGATCCATGGACGTCCTGGGGTCTCAGGGTTGGGTTTCTTGTGGAAGGTTTCCTGTGGTCGGGCCCCCAATGTAGGCGAAGCCAAATCTGCAGCCCTGGCTTCTCCTCGGCTGCGCGCGAGCCTGCGTTTTCGGCAGCCGCCTCTGCGCAGTCGATTTTTGTTTGTTTGTCCGTTCCCTGGGGCACCTGCTTGAAGGCTTTTTGACTGCACTTGGCTCGTTGCAAGTAGCTTGAGCTGGGCGGCCGAGGTCGGCCAGGCGGCAGACAGAGCCCGCCTAGCGGGCACCACAAAGGATCTCCGCTCCTGGTCCGTCCGCAGGCAAAAGCGATTCTTCGCCATTGGACCTGCATGATGGGCGGGGGAGGTATTGGCACCGAGGGGGAGGGAGGGGGAATAATATGAAGAGAAGGGAACGGTGCCGTGCGAGAATCACTGAGCGCGCCATCTAGGCGTTGCCCTATGCGGGCAGCGCTGATCGACCGAAGAGCAGCAAAGCTGGCCTCAGGATCGGCCACCTGGGAGCATGGCTTTGCCATGGAAAAGAGCGGGAATAGTAGGAAGAGGGCCAAAATGGCATTGCCGCGCTGTAGGGCGGCCGTGTCGGAGCGGACCAGGAGGGAGAGGCTGGCGTTGCCGCCAGGAGACTAGGAAGCCCCATCGGTTACGCACGTGACCGGAAAGGGGGCAGGTGAGAGAGCGCCTGTGCTGTGCTTGGCGTCTTGGTGTAAACGTGGTAAGAGGGGAGGGATGAACAAATGGGAGGGAGAGGGATTATCTTGCCAAGCCAAGCAACACTAGGGCGCGGTAGCTGTCCGTAGAGGTACGCACCTCTGATGGGCAGCATTAGCCGAGAGCTACTCGGCGGGTGGGATGTGCTGCGGCGGCATCTTTGCTTGCCGCAGTATCGACTCAGCCGTGTCGAGTCTGCGAATTGCGCTGTGAGCATTGCGCCGACCGCTCTTCTGGTAGCGTGGCTGCTCAAAAGTGTCGCTTTGGCCTGGCCGCAATGTTGCGGCAAGAATGTGTGAAACTAGAGACTGGTGCTGGCTACAGCTCTTGCAGCTGGCCCTCTGGCTGGGGCTGAAGAAAAGAACTGAAGGGCCCGCTGTGACGAGACTACAGGAAGGCTCGGCCGACCTTAAATTGGAGCAGCATAGCTCCTCAGCTGGTGAATTACGGCTCGTGTGGCTGGCTAGGGCTATCTAGGTGGTGGGCTGCCGACATGAGCAGAGACTAGGGTATTAGGCTGGCCCACCACCTATGAAGACTCAGCCGTGGCGAGTCTGCGAGTTGAGCTGTGAGCATTAGCTGTCCGCTCTTCTGGTGGCGGGGCTAGCTAAAAGTGTCGCGTTGGCTGCACTAGTGCGGCAGAGAGGTGTGAAGCTGGAGACTGGTGCTGACTACGACTTTGCAGCGGGCCCTTGGCATGGGGCTGAGTGAAAGAACTGATGGGCCCGCTGCGACGGGATTGCAGGTCGGCTCAGCCGATCTTAAATTGGAGCAGCACGGCTCTCCAGCTGTAAACATTCGGCTCGTGTGGCTGGCTAGGGCTGTCTAGGTGGTGGGCTGCCGTGGTGAACAGAGACTAGAGTATAAGGCTAGCCCGCCACCTATTATTTGCGCCGAGGTCGCCCTTGTCGACCTGGGATGGCGCCGGCTGGGAGGAAGCACGCTCTAGGGCCCGCTCATGCACCGCGCTGCTGCCGCGCGGCCGCGGACGCCGCCGCTCGCGCCCGGGCCTCCAGCAGCATGGTCTCGACCTCTGAGATGGTCGCCAGGCCTGGGGCCTCTATCCATTCCCAGTCCCAAGTTTCGACGACCTGGCCGTTGATGACGTCGAGCGACTTGAGCTTCCACACGAACGGGTAGAGCATGCCGTTTGGCATCTTCCATTCGCCAGGGTACGTAGCTGGCCGCCATTTTTTGAACTCCCTGTTGGCGGCCGTGTACTGGGAGCCCTGCCATGCCGAGCCCGAGTACGTGTCGCCTGATAGGCCGAAGAGCTCGGCCGCGGCCCCCTGCGGGGGCGTGGTCCCCTCAATCGCCGCCGAAGCGCGCCCGCCCGCAGGAACCATGGCTGCGCTGCGCGCTCTGAGAGGAGGGGGAGTGCGGAAGGAGCAAAAAGAAATAGCCCATAAGCCAACGGCCATATATGAGTGAAACCTAACTGGCTTATGCGTGCGCCTGGGTGAGGAGGGCCCTCCTGATGGGCCGACTGATGCATGCTTGGCCCGGTGCTGAGTCGATGGGGATGAGGATGGTTCCGCTGCGCATGTTGACCCGCAGCGAAAGGCCGGTGCGAAAAGGTATGCCCGTGCCGAATAAAATGGACCGTGCATCGGTCTCCTGCAGAATGGGAAGGTGAAAAAAAGCGCGGCCTCTCAGCTGAAGATGGCAGCCGGGTCTCCTGCCCGTGAAATTGCTCCATAAGGAGCCCTACATTGATGGGCAGTGGAGACCAAAGCGGAATATGACCTGCCGTAATCACTACCAGCCACTGTACGACTGTAGGCTGCGGTGGCACGGCCTCAGTGGGGGCGCAGCGGACGTCGCCATGCTCGAACTGCGGCAGGTGCTGCGCATCTGGGGTCGGCATGGCCTGAGGGGCTATGGTTCAGGGAGGCGGAGGATTCGAGAGAGGTAGGACAACGGAAGACAGAAAGGCCGCACCAGGATCATGGCCTGGAAGTCTATTAGGATGGGGCTGCCAGCCGCTGCATCCTCCAAAAGACGTTGAGGGATGAGAGCAGGCTGTTCCCAGGCCCCCGTGTGGAGGAGGTCCAGAAAAATCTGGTCGGGCACGTAGACAGTGACCAAACTTATAGCGGGTGAGAAACGGGCAGCATAGGGGCCTTCACCCGCTGCGCGATGAGGATAAATGTGGAGTAAGTTGGGAGAGTTGGCCTCGCACCAACGCCCATACCACCGCTCGATTGTGTGATTAGCGACATCGGGCAAGTCCATGTGGAGCTCGGGGCCTACGGTAGCGCGGGCGTGTGGCA